GGTCACAGTTAACTAATTGGTCCACAACCACAAATGTCTCCACGACCACTGCTCCGGCTGTAAACCATGACAAACTCCAACACCAACAATATCGCCGCCACCACCACAGAAATTATAAGATCCACAAAACCACCACCTCGCCACCACAAATACATACTTCATCACCACCACAAAATCGTCCCCCCCAAACCCCCCACCACCACACCCGTAACACACACAGAGCACCACCATCTCCGTTTACACCACCCCCACACCCGCAACACACACAGCACCATCACCTATGTTTACACCCGCAACTATTGGATCATGTACCACCATCACCTCCATTTACACCCGCAAACCACCACAAGCAGCGTCGGCCGCTACCCCCACTTATCTAGGGTTTATTTGATTTGGGCATTGAATCCAATTTTTGACTAGCAGTCGACGGATCTGAAGGGAGGCGAAAGAATTGACGGGTGGCTGAGGCGAAAGAAACCAGATGCAAAGGCGAGGGCTGATGGAGCCACAACGGTCGTCGTTGACGGTGATGAATGGAAGGTTGCTTTCAGCGCCAGCGGCGGGAGTACATCAGGGTAACGCTGCTGGGAGTTCGCAGAAGCTTCCGCTAGTCAAGTTTGACGGTACTAGCAACGACAGCTTCCGCTGGGAACGACGTAGCTTCTGCCGGTGATGCTCCTCCGATGAAGCGCCTCAACGCCAGAGCTGTGTTGACGGCAAATAGATGGTGTAGGGTGAAGGCGATCGTGTGTAATGGAGAGAGAGAGAGNTTTGATATTTCACTAATCAGGTTTTAAGGAAATAAAAAATAATTATTTATTTTTAATGACCACCCCATTTTTTACATGAAGATTAGAGAGAGAGAGTTTTAATTAAATAAACTATATCTTCCATAACTGCCTAGAATCGCTAAACACCTTAAGTCTCACCCCTTCCTAAAAATCCTAAATTGGTTCTTATCCAAACCATATCATTCTTCATTTTGAAATCTAAAGAAAACATCAATATCGAATATAGCCTACATTACCCACAGGTAGAAGTTAAGGCAGTTTTACTCTGAAAGCCGTTCAAACAAAGGAATGAGGTGAAAGAGACTTTTTTTTCTTTTTGCGGACGGTGTGTAGAAGTTATGGTGTTAACGCGAAGTTGTGACCTCTAAAACTGCACGACGCAGCAAGGGAAGGGCGAATGTGGCGAAGAAGTGTCGTGAAGAAAAATCGAACATCCCTAGTAAATCGCGACCTAACTTGGAGAAGAGGGCTCACAAGGATATAACCCTAGAACTCTTGTAAACCCTCGAAGATAGAATCCGGTTAATGTAAGTTTTTTTTTGTTCACATAATGAATCTTATTTTGTTGATTGTGACCTAATTTTTTCTGGATTGTGACCCAATAATCATGTTCCTGGATTTTTTTGGATTGTGACCCAAAGGTCACAAATCTTCTTTACTGTGACATTTTTATTTTTTGAGGAACATTGGGTCACAATCCTTCGATGTGCATAGTTATTGATGTATGTGTAATGTTCGTTATTCATGTATTGTGACCCAGGAATGGAAATACATTATACTAGAGGAGTCGTGGTTTCCTGGGAAGATTACAACAAATGTGGCAAAAAATGTACTGACAAATTTCACATCAAAGTTCAATGCGGTTCAAATGTCTATTCTAGCAGAAACTTGCTTTTCACATTTCTTGGAATGTAATGAAATTATTTTGCAGCCACAGCTTATACATTACTTTTTGATAAGGGAAGTGTTGCAACCTAATCCAAATGAGATGTGGTTCAAAGTTGCCAATAGATTTTTAAGATATTCGGTGTGTGACTTTTGGTTAGTCACAGGGCTTAGATGTTGTGGTGATGATTTTAGGAAAGAAGTTGACAAGGTTCCGTCTAGGATGAAGGATATATATTTTGGGCACTTGAAGTTGGTGACTAATGAGGATGTGAAGGATGTGTTTATGAATGTGTCGGATGTTGATGATCATAATATTGTGAGGATTGGGATTTTATATTTGATTACGTCATATCTGTTTTCCACACCTTACAAAAAGGTGGTTGAAATTTTTTTGCTTGCATTGGTTGAGGACTTTGATCTTATGGAGATGTTTCCTTTTGGGAAAGACTTATTTCAAATGTCTCTAAAATCTTTGAAGGAGTGTTTAAGTCACATGAATCCACATTATAGGTTGAAGGGTTTCTTGGTTGCATTTCAAGTGTGGATATATGAGTGCATTCCTAGACTAATTGGTCCTGTGACGAGTAGGATAGGTAACAGTTATCCCCGTATTGTGAACTGGATGTCGGAGAAACAGTCGTCTGCTATTAAGTTGGAAGAAGACGTTTTCTCCACTCATGATGTAAGTTGTTTATCCTTTTTTTTTACACTGGTCACAAAGTCACAGAGTTGTATATATAACTCATAAGCAACTGTATATGAATGCATGGATCACACACTTGTCCCTTCACATGTACTAATTTCAGTACTCTTAGGTTACAATGCATTTTACTGCATGTGAGGTCTACACCACTAAAATATGATTCATGTGCATTCTTGTCACAGTTTGAAATTTGTTTCGTTGTTCCATCTGACATGGAGTTGGAGGCTCAATATATGAATGGTGTGTTGTACACCAAACCTATGCAACTTCGTGTTCATGGACTTCGGAGGTTTAAAGGTTCAGGCTCAAGTGCTGGCACATCCCATACACGATTACTGATGATTACAGATGGCAGGAAGGGACACTCCAGTGCTTGTGATGATGATGACGACGACGACGACTTTATGATTCCACCTTCTAAAAAACAGAGGACGCCAACTGTGTACATATCCTCCGATGAAGAGCGGGCAAGTGAGTGACAGTCAGTACAAAGTGAGTGTGATTAAGCTTACGAAAATGTTAATATGATGCCACAAGCAAGTGAAGGTTGTCTGCCGAGTGATCCCATGCCGACACGAGCACATGATGCACATCCAGCAGATGTAAGTTGATTAATGTCCACGTGTTAAGTCACAAATCAGTTGTTACTCTTTCCTATCCTTGTCGATAATAAGTTCATTCTGGGATTGTGTGTATGTGCAGGTGTATAAGTAGTTGAAAGAATTGAACGAGAAGATGTTCGGGATGCAGTTGAAGAATGTAGATTTAACTATGCATCTACATGAGGTCAAGTCACAAGTAATGTCATTACAGGTTGATCGCAAAATTAAATTGAACTAGATTATCCGAATGTAAGGGGAGATTAAATGTGACATAATGGACATAAGGTCCAACATGATGCTGCTGTCTGATTCTATGATTCGTTTGATTTCTAGTATGATGGACGTCATTTTGGAAATGTTGAAGGAGAAGAATGATAGAAGTAGTGATGTAGCCGAAGAGCAAACACAAGAAAAAGTAAGTTGAATTGTGTGTTGAATTGTTTCCTCGTATTACTTAAAGTTTGTGACGTAACATTACTGCTACATGCAGGGTGCAACACATGATCAGACAGTGGACAGGAAAGGAAAGGAAATGGTAAGTTGGAATCTGTTGGAGTAGTTGAATGCCCATATTTTCCTCTGCGACCGTCTTTTGATCTGGGGATTTCATGTACACCAATCACTTCGGGTGCGGTGAACCTGAACGAAATGTTCCAAACCACAGAACTATAACAATGTGTTGATGATGTGATTGCTGGTGTACTTGAGGGGATAAATACAGATGTAGATGCTGAGACGACAAAGGAACAAACTAAGGGGATTG